CTTTCCCGGGCAGGGGGCGCAGCCGCGGAGCCGCATCCTCCGGGCGCCTGCAGCCTCTTCCCGGCCCGGGGCCTTTCCCCTCGTCCCCGGGGGACGGAAACGGAATTATGCAGACAGTTCGGTCCAGCCGCTTCCAAACAGCATCGAATGTCAACCTAAATCCCCAGTTACTGAGGGAGCGGGTCTGGGGACGGGAGGCCGGAAGAAGCGGGGCGCGCTCGAAGTCCTGCAAATGCTGCTTCAGAGATCCGCGCGCTTCGGGGGACGCTAGATGGGGTGCGACTGGCGGCGCCGGGGAGGGATCCAGTGGCCTGTTTTTTTATGGGGAGTTCCTCCCCCCCCCCACCCTTAATTTCCTACATCCTGTTTTGGCTGCCCCGCCCGTGGGTTTAGGATCTGGAACCGCGGGAGGGTGAGCTTTAGTGAGAGTCCTTTGGGGATGCTGGGTGGGGGCGGGGGGATTAGGGGGGATGGCAGGCCGGCAAAAGAGATGCTGTCCCTACATTGTAGGGCCCCTGGGAAAAGGACAAGGAGGGGCGAGGCTGTGCATCAGGGCGCAGGATAGAGCAGTGCGGGGCCAGGACAGGCAGGAGCGGACTCCTCACCCTGTGCTCGGAGCGCCCTCCAGCCCGTGCTGGTCTGGGAAATAACACCTTCGTTTTCCAGATGCCTTTCCCTCGATTTATGTCATCTGGAGCCGAGCTGCTGCCCTGGTCGGGTGCACAGAGCGGAAGCCTCAGTTATAGCCGGGGACTGCAACCCCCTGGGAGGGGGCCAAACCACCGATGGGAATTTTCTGTAAGTGGTAAGGGGGGCCCCCCTTGGTTTCGCTATGTCCCTGGCTGTGGCTAAACTTATGAAGAACAAGGTCTGCAAACAGCGAGAGGGTGGGCTGGAGGGAATGGGTGCAGTGACATGCAGGGCCCTCCCCAGCTCAGAACCTTGAGCTGCGGCTGGAACCAGCCAGCAGAACTGGTTCCCGCCTCGGGGCAGGCATGGGCTCCAGGTGGAGGACCTCGGGAGGTAGAAGGGGATGTGGGTGTCTGCAGATGTAATCCTCAGGCGGCTCTCTGGAAAACAGTGCAGAGGTTCTTGAGGTTGGAATCCATAATGCAGATAGAATTTGTCTTCAGAACAGAGGGTTGGTCCCGTTAGGGTGGGGTAAGCTGTCCATGTCATGACTAAGATTGAAAACACTTGTTAATTTTTAGGCACAAAGAAAGACCATGCCCAGAGGCTAAAGACAACAAAATACTAAGTTTTGCCCAAGTCGATAATATGAAAGTGAAGTAGAAGACAATATGTTTTGATAATTCCAGAGAAAGGAAAAATAGTCTCACTTAGGTGACTAATTATAGGGAGAGTTTTTGGCCTATTTCACTTTGCTAGAGTGGACCTGTTGTTAATGAAGCAAGAGGCTTATTCGAACTGTGACGCCGTGAGCAGATTGTCGCTTACATGTGCAGCCGTCCATCAGAGCCCCAGTGAGACTTGATTGGAATCCCAGGGTCGACTGCAGTGATTGTACATTGTGCTTTAAACAATACCTTTCTAATTGGTTGACACCTCTGCAGTGGCGGTTAGCTGTAGGGTTGTGTGGTTCATGTGGATGTTGTGGATGAGTGTGGGCGTAATTAATTAGCAATGATAGTTCTTTACAAGGGTGGAGAACAGTCACCTCATACTTTATAAATAACCAGGATGCAAATTATTTTAACCTCCTGCTTGACTTCTGATTTCGTGATGCCTTATTCTTCCTGCCAGTGCCTCGGGCGCCCAGAGCCTTCAGCACCCCTGACTCTCCAGACAGGAGACCACAGAGACGGGGGGTGAGTAGTTCGCTGCCATCCCAGTGCTAAGTCAGTCTCTCTGCTGCTTCTACTGACTTGGTTTCCTACGAAAGGGCTGGTTGCCTTTCTGTCTTGTGACCGGTGCCGTTTTATGACTTCCTTGTAATCTAACTCATGAATTACTAAGTTCCCATTTATCCAGGCCAAATAAAAAAAAGGACTATTTATTTCTATTGCCCAGTCCCCGCCCAGAATTAAGCCCTACGCCCTGGGGATTAAGGTTCCGCACGTTCGCTCTCAGGAGTTGGTGCCGTGGGTCCCCGGCCTTGCCCTTGCTTTGTTAGAGACTCTGCCTTTGAAACTTCGACACTGGATACGGGCTGCCTTTTTCTCTTCATTTATTCAATCATCATTTTCCCTAAACCCAACATAGACTGATCTCCAAAATTCGAACTACTTTGGAACTCACATTTTTGCTGTCTGTATACATTCTTGATCTGAAGCTCTGATACCCGCGATGGCCTAGGTTTCAGGCCTGTGCGTGTTGGCCGCTCCATCCACTGACCACACCCTGGCCCTAGCAATCACTGCACCAAGTCTCTTTTTGAAGATGGTGTACCTGCGAGCTCGGCACTGAAACGTGGGAAGAGTCAGGAGCATTTAAAATGACTGCTCATGATATACGCGTAACTCGATTATAGGTTCCCATGGTTTATTTTCAATAAAAAGTTTTTAGTGACTCTTCAGCAATGTTAGAAGCCGAGTTGAATTCCTTACATTATAAGGAAATGGGCTATAATTCATTTAGTACTTAGTATCTTATTTCAAGTGTTCTTATTTCATTATTGTTTCTAAATTTTAGCTATTTTAAAATGACTTCAGATCTTACTAGGATAATTTCGATTGTTTCTCTGGTTTCCCAACTGGTGAATTCAGTGACTCTGCAGCTCTCCTTGGAAAGGGAACCATTTTAAGTTGAATGTGAATGACATCACACGCACACCTGCAAAATCTAAAATGTCTAAGAAAGTAGATTCCTGGGTCTGAAGTTCAGTTTTAGGGCACAGCTGTAGGTACAGGACCAATGCCATCTGGAGCGACTCCACAGAGCCAGAGAGACGATTCACCAGAGTGTGCCATGCACTGGCTTTTCTGGGAATGACACGGTGCCAGGATTTGTTTTTGGTTCACTTGCAGGGGTGGAAACTTGGAACTAGGTGAGCAAAAAATATGCAGCACCCCATTTTTAGCCTGACATTTCATGTTTCCACTTGTGTTGGTAGTTTCAAAATAAGTGCAATAGAGTTAAATTTTTTTAATAGCCAAAATTTTAAACACTGTAAATGGTTAAACCATTTAGGAGAGTGGGAAATGCTTATTTTTGCTAATTCCTACCTACTAATCTAGAAAGTGTTTGCAGGGCACTGTACTTTGTTTTTAACTGTCATAGCTACTCCGAGGTACTTGTGCTTACTTAGACTAAACCCACAATTAAAACTCTGGGTCATTAGGAAGTCACTGCCAGGTGTCTGTGTCACATACAAGGGGGAAAACTGAGTTGTAGATCTTTGGTGTAGAGTTGTTTTTTTGTTTTGAATCAATGAAATAAATTCTTCCTCACTGTCTACAACAAATAAAGTTGTACGTTGCCTAATGATGCGATTGGTTATCTTAGCAGTCAGCATCTTACCCTGTAGGGCTTTGGGTGTTCAGAAGGGCAGGCCTGTGTTTAGGACAGTCATCAGAGCATAATGGGCACTCAGGAAGGAAACTTCCTGATGGATTAAGCTAACAACCTTCTTCTTTTCCTTAATAAGAGCGATTTTGCATTATGAGGCGAACCGTCTCCTCCACTCGTGGACACGTGGTCTGTGCTGCTGTCCCTGACCCACTTCCTCGTTTTCTGCTGGGACGTGGTGTCTGCTCTGATGCCACTGTTCTCATGTCAACCTGGTCTGTGCAGACAGGGCTGGGTTCCAGTTAAAACTTTCGTATTCAACTTCTATGTCTATGTCTTTGAACTTACTGAATATGTATCGGTTCTTCAGGCAACATGCCTTTTACTTTCAGATGGAAATCTTGCTTTCCTATCGGGAATCAGGGTGGGTTTCTGTCTCGAAGTCACTGGACTGAGCAGGGGCTTGAACAAGGCAGGGATCTTGTTCTGTTCCCCTGTGACCAGGAGGTCGAGTAGCTCCCTCGGCTCTTCCCTTCGGTCGCTGTCCCACCCCCAGAGAAGCCAGAGGAAGCCCAAAGGGCTTGCCACTTTGAACACGCTCCCTTTTAAACAGCTTTCTCAGCCGCCCGAGTCTCCTTGGCCAGACTGTGTCCTTGGCTTCTGCTCCCTGCAAAGCTGACAAAGAAATGTAGTTTTTGTAGCTGGATGTCTGCCCGCCTTCAACAAGGACCTGAGTTTGCTTCTAAGGAAGACGATGATGGTGGACGTCAGGTGAACAAGCATGCAGTGGTAAAGGTGCCTACTGTTTGAAACAGATCAAAACAGTAGCACCTCCGCTACTGGCGACACAGAGCACCACTGCTGTCCCCTAAGAGAGCGTGGAGTGGCGTGCGGGTCCCCTCCCCAGCGCCTGCGGCACTGACCTCGCCCCTCCGCCGGCCTGCCTGCCCCACGCCTGGGCCTCCTAGCGCAGGGCCCTGGGAGCCCGCGTGCTCCCTTGGTGGGCGCGAGCTCTTTACGGGGGCTGAGAAGGGGGCGAAGACTGTTCCTGCCTGGCTGCGTCCCCATCTGCTTCCTTGATCTCTTCTCCAATTTTCCTGACAGACTTCGGGTGGAGTCTGTTTGCGTATTTGATCCCCAGGCAAGGATCACCCCTTTCTTGCGCAGGGGAGGGTATTCTACGTAAAGAAAGCTGCTTTCCCCCCTTCCGTGACTTCCCCCAATCTAGGAATATCCTGGGAGAAAAACTGCTTTGCAGAGCTGCTTCCATAAGCAGCCTACACCCTGGCTACGCCGGGGGAGAAGCAGCACTTCCCCCGTCCAGGGCTGTCCAAAGCAGCTTTCCATGGCGACAGCCGCTCCGTGTCTGCGCTGCCCACCTGGGCAGCCACTGGCTACGTGTGGCTAGTGAACCCTTGAAATGCGGCTCTTGTGACTGGGGAAGTTCATTTCAATTTTATTCAACTTTAAATAATTTAAATATAAATGGCCACACGTGGCTGGTGGCTCCTGTGTTGTACAGCGCCATACACATCTTTCTCTTTCTCGTGTTTTAGAAGTAGCTGGGAGGCTTTGAACCAGCCGTGTGCTTGGCGTTCCGTGGTCTTCGCATTCTGCCCTGCCACTGAACTCGTCGTCCAGACGAAAAGGAAAAACTGGAACTAGATTCAAGCTATTAACTCGACACCTGTACCCTGCACGTGTGAACAGCATGGTCACCTGAGGACCGGTCCTGTGGTCGGGTTCGGTGGTAACTGATGCCGGAAAGGGGCGCTGCCCGCCCTCCTGATGCCAGGCGCACGTGGCACACGAGGTCGGCAGAGATTATTTTGTTCTGTCGTGCACTTCATTCTGTGTTACTTTATTTTTGTAGTATTGTGGATGCTAAATGATTATTCCGTGTATGTTTTTTAAGATACGTAGTGGTTTATATTTTTTAAAAGGCTGTGAAATAAAAAAAATAATTGTAACTCAGTTTTTTTTGTATGTAAATTATTATTACCCATGTTTTTTTAAAGAGTTCATTAGGATGAGCTTAATGTATAGAAGGAAATATTTTTATACCAGATTTCCTTTTTAATGGCATGTTTATATTAATGCCAATTAATGCATCTCTTTAGAATAGTAAATAATTCATTGTATTCGGAGTCTGGGTAAAATACGAGGGTGGTAACGCTGGTGGGTTCATTCCGTTATTGAGAATCTGGTTGTTTTTCTACACTGAGCATCACTTGGCTCTTGTTTCTCCACAAGTGCCCTGTTTTGGGTTGTTTGTCTTTTATTATTGAGTTGTAGGAATTCTTGGTATATCCTAGACGTTATTCCTTTATGAGTTACCGGCTTCGGACCAGTTTTCTCCTAGTCTGTGGCTAGCCTATTCGTTTTCTTAACATATTAAGTGTCTGCTTTGTTTCAGGCCCTGTTTTAGATGCCGTGGAAACCGTGGAACAGTAGGGATGGGTGCGGTCCCTGCTTTTACTGAGCAAACTTGGGAAGCTGCCATTTCTCCTGTCAGAGTCTCACCACCTTACAAATCCACGGTTGTCTGTGCGTCCTTGCCTCGCCCTGATACCTCGGGACGCGTCCCGTTTAATTAGAACAGTGTTTTGGAATGGATTACTTTTTCTTCTTCAACTCTCGGCTTGATACTTTTCTTTTCAAATGATGCTCTAAAACAAGACACGATAACTAAGACAAAGGTGCAAGTTTTTGTGCATTTTAAGTTCTGCATACAGGTAAATTTCGTTGTGTCCCACACGTAGCGACATGTTTTCATATACAGTTTTGGACTGGTGAGGATGAAAATGCAGAACTGTCTGCATACTGTACTCCTTTGTCTCTGAACTTTCAGTACAGGATGGCAGAGGTTAAACCCATGTTACCAACGGAGGTAGGGTCAAGGAGAACCAGCAGAGGCTGGCGAAGCCCCTGAGGCACAGCAGCAGGGGGAGCTGGAGCTGTTACTGCCCTAGGTCTAAAGGGGTGGAGGGGGGTGTGGTCACAGAACCCTGGAGAGGGACGCCGCCAACCACGGTGACTCAGCGAGGGACCAAATACACAGATTGCAGTCTTCCCCAACTATTCGTTTCTCGCCAGTGCTTTCCAGTGGCCAACCCAGTCAAAAGCCAGAGGACAAGGGAGCTCGCTGATGCTCCTTTGAAGGTGCAAGGTGTGTGTGTGTGGAGGGGACAAGTGTGAAAAACAGATCTGGAGGGTCACGTGGGAAATCACGCAGCACACAGATCTACTTGAAGATTTCAATGGCGGCACGCATCCCATTGCGCCTGGTACCGTAATTTACACGTCACATCCCGCACAGATGGATATTGAGTTTGTTTCCAGTTTTTCCATTAGTGTAAACAGATAGAATGACTTTAGAAGCCCTTATCAGCTAAGTCATCGTGTATGTCCATGATTATTTCCTCAGGATGAATTCCTAGAAGTAGAATTATTAAGCTAAAGCCCGTGCGCATTTTGTATTTCTATCATTGTTAGTTCCGGGAAGCTCACACCCACTGATACGCTACTCAACAGTGCGTGCAAGTGTTCATTTCCTTACACCTTTGTGAAAAGTTCTTGTCAGTCTTCTGTCTTTTCTAATGATACTTTTTTTGTTGTTGTTAAAAAAAAAGCTCTTGTTTAAAATTATTGATGAGATTGAACATCTTTTTATAAGTTACTGTGCTTTTAGAAATTTTTATCTAGTACATGTCATCTGAATTTTGGGGTCCAAACAAACAAACAAAAAAAACGAGAAGAAATAGTTACATTGTTGTAATTACTTGACGAGACAGAGTCAACTCCTTAGCAAACATGAAACCCAAAAAAGCAGGTTATGCAGTTGATATTTTGCCCCTCGGTCATGACACAAATAACTTGAAATTAGTACATTCAGGGACGCGTGATGCCATGGAGTTCGGAATTCGGTGCGGGCGGACTGACTTGCCGGTGGACAGGCGTGGGAAGCAGCACTCCACCCACACTGGAGAAGATAAAGCAGAACTTGAACTCTTCTTTCCCGTGAGAGCTCTTTAAAATTTCTCTTTTCTAAGCTAAACATACGCAGTTCCTTTTAGAGGATGCCACGCTCCATCATTCTGTTTGCTCTCCCTCTCTCGCTGGACGCCCTCCAATTTGATAATATTCTACTTAAAAAGTGGTGCCGTTAGCACGGGCGTGGGTAAGCGAGTCCTCTCCTCCACTCGGGATGGAGTGTGAATTTGAACAGATACATCGCACGGCAACTTGGCAGTTTCTGTCGCCAGTTAAACTCACATTAGCAGTCATTCTGCCTTTCCCTGTCTCTTACGGAGAAATATAGAGACATGCCGTGAATAATGCTGTGCATCCGGCAGTCAGCCCTTTCCAGTGGCTGGAACTAGAGGAATCTGGACCCAGTGGACCTGAGCAACGGGTCAGCCTCCAGGGCACACAGATTGGAGAGCAAGGCAGACACACTGAGTCGGAAGCCCAGTCGCGTGGTCCAGGCCAACACAGTGACCAGTGGAAACAGGCTGCGAGTCAGAATTTTGCGTCAGGCTCACTGGACGTCTAGTTAGTGACAGAGCGTTGATTCCAAATTCCCATTGCCAGCACCACCCAGCATGCTGAGGTGGCAGGTACACTGTGGGCACAGAAGGCACAGTAGGTCTAACCCAATGGGCACAGTAGGTCCTAGCCAGAAAAGGACCCGGACACCATTGACCTATATCTAGAATATTCTCTCCATCCTTCCAAAGTACCAACTACGATTCAGTGGTTTTCAGATGGCTTCATTTCTAAATATAAAAACTTATTTTTAAATATTGAATTTCGATGTGGATCAATATCAAGCCTTCCTTCATAATTTCCAGATGCTTCTCCTCTTCCCTACCCACTCTGCCTGCTTTTGGCAAACAGGACTGTGCCCGCCTCCGAACTCAAGAGTTCCATCCTCTTCCCATGATTCCTCCGACCGCTTGGAACTGCCTGGCCAGCCTTGGCTTCCCAGAACCCAGTGGGGAAGGGAGGACATGTGGGCAGCAGCTTCCCGACAGCTGGAATCAGCCACCAGGACCTTTGTCTCTGTGCCAGTTTTCCCTCTGAGTTAAACCTCACTGTCATCTCTCATGCCTGCCAGGATGCCTGTCTTCGGAGAATTTGAGTGTTCTTTCTCTCTCATTTCATTTCCAGCTGAAACGGTCTGACAGGGATCCTACCCTTAGTTTATTAGTTTCTCTTAGCCTCTGTTGGCCAGCTTTAATCTGTTACGGGACAGGGCATAAGTCTTTGACACCAGAGCTGGGCTGCTGCCTTTAAATCTGAGTTCCATCCCTTCTCTGCGCCTCAGGCTGCCGTCTGGGAAATACAGACAATAACACTTGTAGAATACCTCGAGCCCATGTGACGGAGAGGAAGCGCCCCGTCAAAGTTAGCTGGCGTTTCTATTAGACGAGGTATATAGTCCTCCATCGCGGCCTTCCAGCTGTTCGTCTCACTTCATGGAGACGGTCGTCGGACATAGCATTCAGCTCCTTTTGCTAAACTTGCATGTTCGCTTCTTCATGACCTCTCTTGTTAATTTACATATAGACCTGCGAGCTCGCGGTATCGTTCCTAATCCACTTCCTTGCGTTCTGCCGAGACGTGTTGGTCCTCTCTGACGCTGATCTCATGTCCTGCCTGGGATTCTTGGCATGTGTGCAGTCTTATCGGGCCTTTTTCCTGCCCAGCAAATTGCAAGTTGGTACTTTCCTAATAAATGTATCCCATGCAAAAACACTCTGGCCTCTGCAGGAGTCCACTGTCCCAGAAATCTAAATTTAGCCCTACCCGTAAAGAGAGACAGCCGGTCACTTCGCACTTCCTCCTTTATCTCTCAAAGTCACAGCCCTTTCCTGGAAGGAAAGATAAAAAACACTTCCTGCGCTTCCTGCTCAGCACTTCAAAACGCACAGAGAGACATTTGGAGATTTCTAACTATATTCTATCTGCCCAGTTGAGCCCTTAGAAGTTAGTCGTGCTGAGAGGATTTGATCAACGCGGGCAGACTCCTTGACCTAACTGAGATGTAATCAAGAGTCCAAAATATATGGGCACATAGCTAACGAGCATCTGAGCGGTCGGGGAGGACAGAGACGCAAGGTTCGGCTTTAAATATTCCGGTTCAGGCTCGCAGACGTCCAGGAGGGTCTGAAGTGCTACACGCTCTACGTTTGCGAGGTTTCTGCCCAGCAAGGTGACAGGAGGTACTGCAGAGTCACTGCACAGGTTCTGGGATGAAGAGCACGGGCATCGGGAGCCGAGTGGTTTCACATTCGTCATAGCCAGGGGTCTTATTCCGTGTGCAGCCTCTGAATTATACTAGAAGCCTTTCTGGAAGTGTGATGGGCTGGGCCCTGCTCCCGCGGCAATGTCCGACGTATAACAGGATATGAGCGCAGACCGCAGAGCCGAGCTTCTCTCCACAGTCACGAAATTGCGTGGGAGTCGCAGCCTCCCTGTCTTCTTAGGTGACTCTTCTGTCCTGGGGGTGGGAGTCGGCCTTTAGTGTTTCACCTTCTTTCTCAGATCTGCCCTCAGGCCTCACAGTTCCCTTCAAAAGTGGGGTTTGGAGTCGTCTTCCGATTGCTCCCACCAGCACCCGCCCCACGTGTCCATCTTGCAGTGCTGATGATCAGAGCATCTGATAATGCCCAGTGTCTGCCACGTGGCAGGTGCTGTGCTAACGTGCCGTCCTTCAATTCTGAC